AGCTAAATAAATGATCAGCTCAGACAGAAAAGCAGAATCAATTACATGAATACAAATTTACCAACATAAATGAGAATTAGAAATAGGATAAAATTTTGCTCCCAGAATGCAAGATTATGACCATCTACATTCAACTTCCTTGACTACCTCGAGCAATAATTTGTGTTGGATAGTTAATTAAAGTAAAGAACAGTTTATCTAAGCGTGCTAATGTAGGTCTAGCAAACGCACCCTCTGTTGTCCGACTACTGCGAAAATACAAAGGGCATACCCCGCCAATCCAATTCAGAAAACAATCATAACCTGGATCTAATGAGCATTGCACCACTATTGATGAAGCATCAATAGCAATTACGAAAGCTATTCGTCTAAATCGGCGCATGAAACCTCACTACAATCCTAGTAACAGATCTAATGTATTGACAGGCTTAATGTAGCTTATGATAAAAAACTTCCACTCACAGTCACCTGTATACCTGCGTAGTGATAAATTTGCAGACTCTTCTTATATCTAGAGTCTGCTTGTCCACAGATAACCCTAACAACCATTGCTCTACTATCATCTGTGTCAATTCAGAGCAAATGGGAATGGCTAAATCGCATGCATAAATCCTAGCTAGATCCTTAGAGTGAGAGCAACATATTAGCAACACAAAGGCTGTAGACGCTTAATCAATCTGGGTGCCCCCACTGTAGGAGACCAGAGCCAAGGGTTTTCTTAATACACAAGCGTAGCAATCAAAGTGCTAAATCTCCTGTCCTGGAAGTAAACCAGAGGAGAGACAGTATCATCAATTAGACTTACTTCGCACCCATAAAGGCACTCCATGTCGTAGTTCCATTCCATAGTGCCTTGTTTGTACTTCTATGGACTAACCACTCTTGACTTCTTGCGTAAGCGTTTGATCATTAGGATACCTGCCACATGTGCCATCAAGAACAGAATCCAAATTAATATTTAGGTATGTGTAAAGAAGAAGTTTTGCGAACTCAAGCGCTCATTAAGCAGCAACTGTGCCGGACTGCAACTACACCAAAACTTAGCCCTATCAAACATCTAGCTACTGCAGAATAGTCAACATCTACCTATATGAGTTGTCACCCTCCCCTATACCATATAACCTTCTAACACTATTCTCAACTTGTGCATCTGCTTCCAGATCCATCCAGTGCGATCTGGCTCCCGAACCACAGAGCACTGCATCAACCACAGCCTTAGCTTTCTTAATATTTAACGCATCATTTATAACATCAAGCCCATATACTATCTTACCTGCCTCATATTACCTATATGTGCTATCTAATATTTTTTATTTGATATGCTTCTGAAAATTAGATGAAAAAGTCAATAGAAGGAGAAGTCAGATTATCTTCCCCACTCAAACGAACCTTCTCTTGGATATGGCATCACTATATTGTCCTGTGGCAAAAACATATGCACCTGATAGCATATTAACCGACACTCAGCCTGACAACACGCTCATATACACTTCGCTAAGTCGCGGAATATTTACAAAACATACGTGGTCAAAGGCTTTTATCTACCTTAAAAAATAGACTGACTAAGCAGAAGAAACGAATTTCAGCAGCGTGAACAGTACACACTTTATTCTCCGAATTAAACCAAACAATCTCAAAAAAGAACAAAGACTCAATCCCAGTAATATACACAAGACCGTCTAGTGAGGAGATAAATTGATGGTATTTCACTCGACTGATCATCAGGCGAACCAAATGTGAGAATAATGATCCTGGCACAAGGCGTGGAACACACTCACTCCGATAATGACATCCTACCAAGGTAGACAAGATCATCATGCCTTCAAGAAACCACGATATCCTAGCACGTCTTATGACTAGAGATCATGCCCTAGATTAGGTATCTAGTCCCACGTAATTATATCAATTGTTAACCCTAAGAAAACCAAAATGTACAATACACATCAACATGAGACACACGACTATCTTCAAATCTAGAAGTAACTGCATAGAGATCATGGGAATCGGATACACCATAAGCATGACACAGTAGAGGAACTGTGCATCTCATTTCAGTTCTAAAAGGGCACGCATTATGCAATACAAAAGCAGAGAACAAACTATTCTAGTTACAAGACGCTGACATAGCCAATACGCATAAAAACAAATATCCAACACAGAGATGACAACGATCACACATACATAAAGGACAATGCAATACAGAACTCAGATGATGCAGAATGTATCGTAGTACAATGACCAACATGAGATAATAACTACAACCAGGAACACCCTATAATCTATAAAGACGAGTAAGAGCAGGCTTGTATACTAGTGCGTTATCTTAAACAGATAATAAGCCTCAGCCAGAGAATCTTTTAGCTATCCTGCTAAACTAAATAACAGTCCAGGGAGAAAATAAGGAAAACACTCACCAGATATAAAATCCAAGAGAGCACCTACATCCTACCATATATTAAACACATATTAATAATCGAGAAGTACTTGGTAAGAAGTCAAAGAATAAATTTACAATGACTTTGAGTTAAGTTCAAATTCTTGTAATAGCCATTACATAAGCGTAGATATATAAATTAATTTTTCAGTATAGAAAAACAAAAGTGTGAAGAATGCCATTCATGGCTTAGTTATAGAGAGTCTGCTAAATGCCACTAAATAGAAAAATGTCCACCTTAGTAGGACTAAATTCCAGACAGTAGCTACTTTACAATGTTTAAGAGTTCCATGATGATAAGCAGCTTTCCTGGGATCCACATTTTCCCTAAAATGAGGAATATGCATTCTGAAAAGAGTCATTTTTGACTATTAATTTGGCATGACTTTTACATTGTTCCCTGAATCTCTGCCCTCCAGAAATGTATGTCTTTTAGTGGCAAGATAAACTTATTTCTAGCAGAGATAACTCATGGAAAATGGTGATATTAGTCTGGATATTTCTGCATTAAGACACTAGAAATTCTGATTAATTAATTTAAATGGTGGAAGACTTTCTGGATTCACAGTTGTCGTTTCCTCTACATTAGTCTTTCTCACTTTCTCTTCACTTGTAACAAAGCTGTTTGCCAACTTTAGTTTTTCCAGTGGTGTCTTTGTCTCCATTCATACCCTGCCTGCTCCCATTTCACAACCTTCATGCTGTTGTCCCACTGTCTGCATTGCTCTGTACCAAGACCTTTGCACTGGCTTAATATCACCTCCTCAATTATGGCTTTCCTGAGTCCCAATCCAACATATCCACCTTCTTCCTAGCCATCCTGTTATAATCATTTTGTCTTATATCTTCATAGCATTTCTTGCATCCTGAAATTATTTTGCTTCCATTTTGAAATTATTTGTTTATTTGATTAATGTCTATAACTGTCTCTAAAATAGCACCTCTATTATATTATAAATAGGACCTTGGCCTGGCACGGTGGCTCATGCCTGTAATCCTAGCTTTCTGGGAGCCAAGGTGGACGGATTGCTCAAGGTCAGGAGTTCGAAACCAGCCTGAGAAAGAGCGAGACCCGTCTCTACTATAAATAGAAAGAAATTAATTGGCCAACTAATATATATAGAAAAAATTAGCCAGGGCATGGTGACGCATGCCTGTAGTCCCAGCTACTCAGGAGGCTGAGGCAGAAGGATTGCTTGGGCCCAGGAGTTTGAGGTTGGTGTTAGCTAAGCTGACGCCACTCTAGCCTGGGCAACAGAGGGAGACTCTGTCAAAAAAAAAAAAAGGACTTTGACCATTTTTCCCCACTGTGTTCTCCTCATCTCTAACATACCTGGAAAACAGCAGTGCTCATTAAATACTTGTAGAGAGAATGATTGAATGTTCATTTTTAACTTCAATGATTGTATTTTCATAAAAACTTAGTAGGGAAGAATACTCAGCAGGGATTATGCCTATCCAAATGCACTGATCTGAACTCAGGGCAGTGAGACACAGTATGTCTGGGCATGTGAATGAGCTTTGCTAGAAGTAAACTCATGTGCATTTTTGGACTAAGGAAAAAGAGCCTTTCCTCTCTCAGTTCTATTAATGGGAGTAATGAAGTGCCCAGTCTGTGTCTGTCAGTCATTGTGGGGAGAGTGAGAACACTGGTCTTTATAAGTATCAAATTTTTTGACACCTCATAGGTGTCAAAATTTAACTCTACAATATGGTTTGAACTTTTGACCTATACATTTCAAAAAATCCATAACTCTAGTGGCTTTTATTAATGTAATTAAAGAAAACATTCAATCTTATATTTCCTGTCTCAGGACATTTTATTTTTTAAGGTAATTTTAAGTTTGCTAATTCCTGTTTTTTATTAATAACCAAGCCGACTCTACATATATAGTCATTTTATTTTATTTTTTTATTTTTATTTATTTATTTTTTTTTCTATAAGGGGCAGGGGCAGGGAAGGGGCAGGGGCAGGGAAGGGGCTATAGTCATTTTAATACACAACATAGAGGCATTCACAGTATCTTGCAATTTCAATATTTTGAAAACATTAAATTTTAAATTTATCAGTTGACCATCATGCTTATTGAAATTACCTGTTAGAAAGATATACTGTATACTTTGAGAATGTGGGTTTGTGAACTTTTATGCTAATCGTTAGCAGTCTTTTCTACTACATGAATAGGTAACTTGGGCAGGTTAATTGTACCATCCTCATATTTATTTTTAAAACTGAGAAAATACAATTTCTATCTTATTTTCTATAACTAGTTGGGGAATTAATAAATCCTTCTATAACAGATGACATTATTAAGCAATATTTTTCATCTAAAAAGAAAAATAACAGCCATAATGCTTTGTAAATCATAAAATACGGCACAAAAGTAAATGATCAACTAAGCCTCATTAAAAAAAAAACAGTTTGATTTTAATTCTCAGGCAAATAGATGATGATATAAAACAAAATAGTTCAAGTGATTGTGTTAGCTAAGCTGACGCCACTTAAGCCATGGCAACAGGGAGACTCCTGTCCGGCATGGTGGCACATGCCTCTAGTCCCAGCTACTCGGGAGGCTGAGGCAGTAGGATCGCTTGAGCCTAGGAGTTTGAGGTTGCTGTGAGGTAGGTTGATGTCACAGCACTCTAGCCCAGGCAACAGAGCAAGACCCTGATTCAAAAAGAAAAAAAAACTCTACAAGGGTTACATCAGTGTCAGTTGTTTTATTCTCATATATTATGAAAGAGAATTATCAAAATCTTAGATTTTATAAAACCAAGTTCTGTTTCACCCATGTTAGTAGAAGATATGGCTGAATATTAGCATATATAATTCTTTAGACTTCCTAAATACTTTGTGCACTTAAGATTTCCACTTCTGCTGTTGCTAGATCTTTAAGCAATACTAGCAACAATAATTTAATAAGGCAAATAATTTTTATGTTTATAGGCTGATCAGAATTAGTATCGTGATGTTAATTTAAGATCAGATAATGAAATTATTAATCATTTGTAATATATGTTATTCATGAGTACATTTTATAGACATGCATTTCTCATTTTGAAGCAATATTGGAATTCATAAGTGGAGAAGATTTTATTAATATTAACATTAAATATAGCCAAATATTTATTTACACATCAAATAGGTGTACTAGAATAAAATTCTTCTTTTTTATAGTTCTACACAATTTATAAATCACTTCAATATTGTTTTATTTCACTATCACATGTGCACACACACAAATTCTATAAAGTAAGAATTAGCATTTTGTAGTTGAGAGATTTTGAAAGATTTCGCCACAACTAGAAAGAAGCCAAGACATCAGCCTTCAAATCCAGTTGCTTTCTTCACTATACCTCTGCCAAATGCTACAGTGGGTGAGCTATGAGGTGGATAATTCCCTAATTTTCCTTTTATGACCACAATTCTCGTAAGTCCAATTTAAGCCTGGACCAAGAAGAGAATTGACAGCTGTTGAGTGGTAAGAAGGTCCACAGGACTTTTCAGGGAGGCAAAGAAAACTTTGATGTGTCAGACTCTGGCTAGGTCCACATTTTCAAGCCTTTACTGTGCTTAAATGAAATACAACCAGAAAAATAAGTTTCCATAATAATGCTTTTTTTTTTTTCCATGCCATGATAGCCAAACTTCCTTTTGCACTGTAGAATTGTCTGAGTTGCCTGGAACTCCTAAAGGAAGAAGGAGATCAGGAACAATATTTACTAAGGCTAACTAGCACCACGTTTGTTCCCTCGTGGCTAATGATGCTGCACTGCCTCGTATACAGAGTGGATTATGGCTCCTGAACGTACACAGAGTGGCAGAGGCACAGGCTCCCATTCTATGGCTTCTGGGGCCATAAGGAGTTAGTGCTTAACAAAGAACTCTTTTTTAAGGTTCCATCTATTGAAGGCTCAATATGTATTATTCAAGTGCTGTGTTAAAAATCTTTTTATAAATATTTATTAACTTAATTCTCAGAAGAACCAAATTGGATATTAAAACCCAAAAGATGTATTAAAAAATTCAGACTCAGGGTTATCAAGCTTGTGGTCAGACATCTCAGGGTTATCAAGCTTGCAAGTGGCTGCTTACATCCCATGAGCCTAGGGCTTAAACTCAGATCTGTTTAACTCCAAAGCTTATACTCTTTTTCAACCTTCCACTGTTACCACATGCCCACTGACCTCCAGTTAATTCGATTTTCTGGAGGATTGGATTAGTTGATATGGCCTAGTCTGGCTCAAGATGACCAACAGTCAGGCTTAATCCTTGGGCTTACTTCTTCCCAGACTTGGTCTCAGATTGGTCAGAAGCCCATGGACTGATAGTAGCAGGCTACCCTTTGCCAGATGATTTACCTCCTAATATTGGATACTTTAGTAAAAGTAACTGTTAAGTTGAACTACTATATTAATCAACATATATGAAAAAAGACAACACCTTTTCATTACATAATTTCATGATAATTTAGCACATGAATGTTTTAACATTTCTATGGGTGACAATTCATTTAAGTTTTAGGTACAAAATTACTTTGAACCCTAACTATTATGACCTTTTATTTTATTATGTACCCAGGGTGTGTTTGTGTACTCCCACAAGGAGAAAATTACATTGAGAAAGGACGTAAAGTTTAATGAGCCCTTATGATTTAAGTGCTAACACTTGTCCCATTTACCTTTATCTCTCCTTTTCTGCTTGCAAACTTTGCTTAATATCTACGCCAAATCCAAGATGCATTACCTTCACTTTCACCTATAGCCTCTCCCAGTATACTTTTCCAGGATGATGATCTTTGGACTGCTTTTGCGTATCAAGAAGGAGTTCAGTCTGTACAACTTCTGATTTTAAACTACCAGTTTATTTTCTAAGTCCATCAAATATGCCAACACATGTTAAAAAAGGCTTTTTTGGTTTTCCTGGTAGACTATTATGAGTAAATATATATGTACTTGAAACTGGCTAATGGAAAATCTACATTTTAAGAAAAGTGATGCAAAAAGTATATAAATACTTTTGATATAGAATTGCTTAATTCTACGTGTTAATTTATTAACGTAAAGAAATATCAGCAGTGCTTTAAAATTTACTGTTATTATTAAGGAGAATGGTTTCACACTGTATTCATGCTATAAGGTAGTGGGGTGTAGGCTACAAAAGGATACTATTTATTGAATGATTTCCATCTGTTGGGTCCTTTAAAATAAGGATCTAATTCAATTCTCACAGCAGACCTTGGGGTTAGGTTAGAATCCCTTCACTTTTAAAGAATAGGTAACTAAGGCTCACAAAAAGCTAAGGAACAAAACTAGAATTTGAATCCATTTCTGACTACCTCCAAAGACCATGAGTGTGTCCTCTTTTCTATTATATTGCACCACCATCTTTATCAGGTTGTCTGAAAAACATTTACTATAAATATATTTAATAGGTTATTACATTTGTTTATTGAGCAGCACCAACTAACTTTAGCAGAAGATTTTATTTTTAGTGCCCTAAGGTATTTCTCAAAAAGCAGCATTACCTCAGAGTTTTACAAAATTTCAAAGCCATACATTTAAGCCAATTTTAAATTATATTTAAGAGCTCCAGTATTTCTTATTTTAACTTTTTTTCTTCTAGTTCTTTAGGTGAATATTTCCCTCTGATTCCCATTTTATTTTATTTTTTTATTTCAAAATATTAATTAAGAGAGTACAAGTGTTTTTGTTACATGGATATCTTATATAATGCTTAAGTCAGGGCTTTTGGTGTGTCCATCACCAGCATAGTGTTCATTGTACCCAATAGGTAAATTTGTACCCCAGACCCCCAGCCCTATTCTATTCTTGGTTTCTCATGTCTTTTACATTGCTTTGTGCCCATTTGTGCCCATCTATTAGCTCCCACTTATTAATGAGGACATATGGTATTTGGTTTTCCATTTCTAAGATACTTCACTTAGGAAAATGGTCTCCAGTTCCATCCACATTGAAGCATACGACATTATTTCATTCCTTTTTATGGCTAAGTAGTACTCCAAGCCAAATTTCCTTACCCAGCATATGCTACAGATACACCCTTAAGAAGGAGCGGGGGATTCCTCACCTAAACAAAAGAAAACCCCCAAATAAGAAGGAACAGCTGCTCCAGATGAGAAGAAATCAGCACAAAAACTCTGGAACTATCAAAAATCAGAGTGAAAGTACACCCCCAAAGGAGCACAGCAGATCTCTAGTAATGGATCCCAACCAAAATGAAAGTAACTGAAATGACAGTTAAAGAATTCCAAATATGAATTGTAAGGAAGCCCAAAGAGATCAAAGAGAAAATGGAAAACCAACTAAAAGAAACCAGAAAAACAATTCAGGAAATGAATGAAAAATTTACTAAAGAGATAGATATATTTTAAAAAGATCAAATAGAATTTCCGGAAATGAAAAGTTCATTTAGGGAAATACAAAACATAGTGGTAAGTTTTAAGAATAGACTTGACTAAGCAGAAGAAAGAATTTCAGAGCTTGAAGACAACTTTTTCGAATTAACCCAATCAATCAAAAATAAAGAACAAAGACTCAAAAGGAATAAACAAAGTCTATGAGAAATATGGGATTATGTAAAACGGCCAAATGTAATAATTGGGGCACAAGGCGTGGAAAACCTCTCTGAGGGAATAATTAAGGAAAACTTCCCTGGTCTTGCTAGAGATTTAGATATCCAGATATAAGAAGCAAAATGAACACCTGGGAGATTCATTGCAAAAAGGGAATTACCAAGGCACATAGTCATCAGATTGGCCAAAGTCAACACAAAGGAGGAATTCTTGTGAGCCATGAGGCAAAAACATCAAGTAACCTACAAAGGAAAATCCATCAGACTAGCAGCAGACTTCTCAACAGAAACCTTACAAGCCAGAAGAGCAGGGGGCTGTATCTTTAGTCTTCTTAAACAGAATAGCTGCCAGCCAAGAATTTTGTATCCTGCTAAACTAAATGAAGGAGAAATAAAATCTTTCCCAGATAAACAAACACCATTTTAATATTTTAAAATTAAAAACACGAAGTCTTGTAGAAGCAAATAAATTATGATGAGTTTCAAATTTAAATTATACTTAAAAATAAATTTTTCAGTATAGAAAAAACAAAAGTGTGAAAGAATGCCATCCATGCCTAGTTATAGGAGAGATCTGCTAAATGCCACTAAATAGAAAAATGTCCACCTTAGTAGGACTAAATTCCAGACAGTAGCTACTTTACAATGTTTAGAGTTCCATGATGATAAGCAGCTTTCCTGGGATCCACATTTTCCCTAAAATGAGGAATTATGCATTCTGAAAAGAGTCATTTTTGACTATTAAATTTGGCATGACTTTTACATTGTTCCCTGAATTCTCTGCCCCTCCAGAAATGGTATTGTCTTGAGTGGCAAGATAAACTTATTTCTAGCAGAGAAATGAGTCATGGAAAAATGGTGATATTAGTCTGGATATTTCTGCATTAAGACACTAGAAATTCTGATTAATTAATTTAAATGGTGGGAAGACTTTTCTGGATTTCACAGTTGTCGTTTCCTCTACATTAGTCTTTCTCACTTTCTCTTCACTTGTAACAAAGCTGTTTTGCCAACTTTAGTTTTTCCAGTGGGTGTCTTTGTCTCCATTCATACCCTGCCTGCTCCCATTTCACAACCTTCATGCTGTTGTCCCACTGTCTGCATTGCTCTGTACCAAGACCTTTGCACTGGCTTAAATATCACCTCCTCAATTATGGCTTTCCTGAGTCCCAAATCCAACATATCCACCTTCTTCCTAGCCATCCTGTTATATCATTTTGTCTTATATCTTTCATAGCATTTCTTGCATCCTGAAATTATTTTGCTTCCATTTTGAAATTATTTGTTTATTTGATTAATGTCTATAACTGTCTCTAAAATAGCACCTCTATTATATTATAAATAGGACCTTGGCCTGGCACGGTGGCTCATGCCTGTAATCCTAGCTTTCTGGGAGGCCAAGGTGGACGGATTGCTCAAGGTCAGGAGTTCGAAACCAGCCTGAGAAAGAGCGAGACCCGTCTCTACTATAAATAGAAAGAAATTAATTGGCCAACTAATTATATAGAAAAATTACCAGGGCATGGTGACGCATGCCTGTAGTCCCAGCTACTCAGGAGGCTGAGGCAGAAGGATTGCTTGGGCCCAGGAGTTTGAGGTTGGTGTTAGCTAAGCTGACGCCACTCTAGCCTGGGCAACAGAGGGAGACTCTGTCTCAAAAAAAAAAAAGGACTTTGACCATTTTTCCCCACGTGTGTTCTCCTCATCTCTAACATACCTGGAAAACAGCAGTGCTCATTAAATACTTGTAGAGCGAATGATTGAATGTTCATTTTAACTTCAATGATTGTATTTTCATAAAAACTTAGTAGGAAGAATACTCAGCAGGGATTATGCCTATCAAATGCACTGATCTGAACTCAGGGCAGTGAGACACAGTATGTCTGGGCATGTGAATGAGCTTTGCTAGAAGTAAACTCATGTGCATTTTGGACTAAGGAAAAGAGCCTTTCCTCTCTCAGTTCTATTAATGGGAGTAATGAAGTGCCCAGTCTGTGTCTGTCAGCATTGTTGGGAGAGTGAGAACACTGGTTTTATAAGTATCAAATTTTTTGACACTCATAGGTGTCAACATTTAACTCTACAATATGGTTTGAACTTTTGACCTATATATTTCAAAAATCCATAACTCTATGGTGCTTTTATTAAGTAATTAAAGAAAACATTCAATCTATATATTCCTGTCTCAGGACATTTTTTTTTAAGGTAATTTAAGTTTGCTAATGCTTTTTTTTATTAATAACCAAGCCGACTCTACATATATAGTCATTTTATCTTTTATTTTATTTTTTATTTTTTTTTCTATACAGGAGGGGCCAGGAAGGGGCAGGGGCAGGAGGGCTATAGTCATTTAATACACAACATGAGGCATTCACAGTATCTTGCAATTCAAATATTTGAAAACATTAATTTAAATTTATCAGTTGACCATCATGCTTATTGAAATTACCTGTTAGAAAGATATACTGTATACTTGAGAATGTGGGCTTGTGAACTTTTATCTAATCGTTAGCAGTCTTTTCTACTACATGAATAGGTAACTTGGGCAGGTTAATGTACCATCCTCATATTATTTAAACTGAGAAAAATACAATTTCTATCTTATTTTCATACTAGTTGGGGAATTAATAATCCTTCTATAACAGATGACATTATAAGCAATATTTTCATCTAAAAGAAAAATACGCCATAATGCTTTGTAAATCATAAAATACGCACAAAAGTAAATGTCAACTAGCCTCATTAAAAAAAAAACGTTTGATTTTAATTCTCAGGCAAATAGATGATGATATAAAACAAAATAGTTCAAGTGATTAATTGGCCTGAAATTCAAGCAATTGCATGACATAATGCTTGAGACAGATTGAACTAAATCCTACATGTAAATATGAAAGGAGATAAGTGCTCAAGTGTAAATGTTAGGGAGGTGAAAATGAGCTTCCTCAGTCACCTTGTTGTAACTTCTTCCATGCCCTTTTGTTGGGAGTCTGTCTACCTAAAATAATGAAAAAAAATTTTTTTTAAAGTTTCTCTATCTTCCTAATCAACTTGGTTAGCTTACAAGTTCTTTTTTTTTTTTTTTTGAGACAGAGTCTCGCTTTCTTGCCTAGGCTAGGAGTGCCCGTGGCGTCAGCCTAGCTCAAACAGCAACCTCAAACTCCTGGGTCAGCAATCCTCCTGCCTCAGCCTCCGATTGCTGGGGTACTTACCAGGCACGAGCCACCTGCCCGGCCAATTTATATATTTATATATATATATAGTTGCCAATTATTTCTTTCTATTTTTATAGTAGAGACGGGGTCTTGCTCAGGCTGGTTGAACTCCTGACCCTTGAGCAATCCGCCCCTCGGCTCACCAGAGTGGTCAAGTCTTTTTATCAAAGACTAGATTTCTAAAATGTATTTGCAATTGTTCATAGAAGAATGTGTCTTGTTCATAGAAAACCTATGGGTCTAGCAAATTTTTCTTACT